GAACACCTAAGCTCCAAGGCCAGACTCTGACACAACAGGGTGGCAATCGATGCTCTACCACTTCTACTTCCTAAGTTACTTCCTCACTGGGGCAAGCTATTTACCTTTTCTATGCTTTATTTCTTCTCCCATAGAACCAGGAAAGCAGTAATACCTATTTCATAGCATGACGGTCAGGATTCAGGGAAGCAAACTGTGCAAAGAACTTTGAACTATGCCTGGCACAGAGTAGGCAGTAGATAACTGCTATCAGCACTATCTGTTTACATCTTCACAACTACCTAATGCAGAAGGTACCATTATTATTCTAACTTCACGGATGACATTGTGGTTTAAGGAGGTTAAGTAATCTGGACAAAGAACCTTTGGATAAGAAGGGTGTATCTGACTCTAAGCCCAAGCTGTTAATCACTCCATGTATTGCCTTATTTGAGAGGCAGAGCTACAGAGGGTCACTCCCCAAATGGCCGCAACAGTTGGAGCTCAGTGGATCTAAAGCCAGGAGTCAGGGGCTAATTCTGGGTCTCCCACATGGGTGCAGGGGCCCAACCACTGGGGCTATCTGCCGCTGCTTTCCCAGGCCATTGGCAAGGAGCTGGATTGGAAGGAGAGCAGTTGGGACTAGAACTGGTGCCCATATGGGATGTCAATGCCACAGGCAGAGGCTGAACCTACTATGTCACAGTGACAGCCCCAAGGCCTGGAATGTTAAGCTTTAGCAAACAGACAATGGGAAGCCACTAAAAATTTCCAAATGTGAACTGTGAATTATTAAAGCAAGGTTTTGCTTGGGAAGGAAGCTGGCAATGAAAAGGAGCCTAAACTGGAAGAGGGAACTGGAATAGACAGGTTGAATGCACTAGAAGCGCAGAGAAGTCCAAGCAAAGGTACCACTGGAGGAACAAGGGCATCATCTCAGGAACATCAAGAGTAAGAGGCAGGGCTCAACACAGTGATGGCTCTCACAGCATTGGGAGTTTGCGAGGCCTTAAAAACGTGGGTCACAGAAATGTGGGAAAAGGATGGAACCCTCTGCAGATGGTGATGCACGGCAGGTGACAGAACTAAAAGAATGACTGAGTCACGATCATCTACACCCAATGGCCAGTAGTTAAGGAACATTAAGACTGATCTACCCTGCCTTGTCCTGGGAAATGATCTAACTGTAGGTCTATCAATACAGGATCTTCTCAGTACTACTCGGGAGTCAAATACTCCACCCCCAGGACAAATCAAAGGCAGTGAAGGGAAACGCAGACATAAATATTATTAACATTGGGATGTGTAGCTTCTTAAAAGTTTTAAGGAACCTTTAAAAATAATCCAGATTCCATAATCTCTCTCAAATAAAGATGAGTACAAACACAAAAGCAAAGTAAACCAAAGTTCCATTCACAGCACATAGAACAAAGTGCGCCCAGCAGGACAAAATCAAAGTCCTACAAAGGACAGGCTATGCGCATTTCAGTGAGGGAGCACTGAAATCATCTGTTCATCCAACAAGCATACACTGAGGTTCCACTGAAGCCTCGGAATTTTAACTTTAGACTTTAAATAAGAAAGGCCAGATTCTGTTTCCCCACTGTGGAACATAAAATAAGTATCAGCTCATCTTCAAATTCGCCTTCATATACTGCCAAGTATGTGTGGGTGTGTGCTTAGGCACCTATGGAAACAGCAGATATATTTAAAAGTACAAGGCCCTTGGAATGACAACGCCCGTGTAAAATTACTATGTGTTAGAGAATGCAAATCCTTTAATACTTTCAGGACTTATCAGAGAAAATTCAGAGATTTTTTCCCCTGATTTTAACAAGATCATTTATTTTTAGAGTTGCCACTAAATACAAAAACCCAAGTGTCACATTTGGGGAACAAACAACCCGAATTAAAATTATGGTATTAATTTCTACCCTTAGCACAGATTGTCTACAATGGCAATTGTTTTTTTCTCATTTGAGATATTAATGAAATGTTACTATCTGAAATCTGAAAGGGAATAGATATACTGTTAAAGTTAGCAACAAACCTATAGTTGGCATGCATGTACAACTAGCATAAAACTGTGTAGAAATCTCTCAATACATTTGCAATAAGCCAGTGCAGAGTCCTTCAAGTCTCTCGAGTTCTCTTACGTAACATCTAAAAATGTCAGAATTTGCCGAGTTATAGTATAAAGGGACAAAGTTAAGTGTAAAGATAAACACAAGGGCAGGCTAAACAAAGTAACCTACACAGTTTCAGTATGAAAATCTAACATGTTTTTACAACACAAAATTAAGCTTCAAAACTGTTCTTATTACATGGTTTTTTTTTTTTTTATTTTAATTTTTTGACAGGCAGAGTGGACAGTGAGAGAGAGAGAGAGAGACAGAAAGGTCTTCCTTTGCCGTTGCTTCACCCTCCAATGGCCGCCGCGGCCGGCGCACCGTGCTGATCCGATGGCAGGAGCCAGGTACTTCTCCTGGTCTCCCATGGGGTGCAGAGCCCAAGGACGTGGGCCATCCTCCACTGCACTCCCGGGCCACAGCAGAGAGCTGGCCTGGAAGAGGGGCAACCGGGACAGAATCCGGCATCCCGACTGGGACTAGAACCCGGTGTGCCAGCGCCGCAAGGCGGAGGATTAACCTAGTGAGCTGCGGCGCCGGCCACATGGGTTTTAAAAAACCTACTCAAGAGCTCACAGACAAATATTACCTACACTTGCTGGGAAGGTTCCTTGTAGGCACCTGTCTCTTGAGTTCACAATTCTTTACTTGTAAATATTCTGATCTTTTCCTATTTTTGGACTGAGGCCCACATTTCATGCCTGGAACCCCTGGAAAGGTCAAGAAACTAGGACTATAGGAAAGGTACTCCAAACCACAAAGCCCTCCTGTCAAGCCACCTGCCTGATCCAGTACCTGCTCTGCAGAATCACTCACGATGAAGACCCACTACATCAGGAAGGGCAATCCAGAGTAAGTCATGTCTGAAACTTTCCTTAGGCAGTGAGGGCAACAACTGGCATACAGACTGATCAATCCACACAAATCACAGAATCTGATCAATACTGCTAGCCAGAAGGACCCTCCTCAGCTAGGTATGCCTTCGTTCCACAAATATTTACGGCACATCAATGACAGGCCAAATGCTGGCCAAGTGAAGAATGTGCACATGTAATAAAAGGGTGCTTCATGGGGCCAGCGCAGTGGGTTAACGCCCTGGCCTAAAGCACCGGCATCCCATATGGGTGCCGGTTCGAGTCCCAGCTGCTCTACTTCCCGTCCAGCTCTCTGCTATGGCCTAGGAAAGCAGTAGAAGATGGCCCAAGTGCTTGGGCCCCTGCACCTGTGTAGGAGACCTGGAAGAAGCTCCTGGCTTCGGATCGGCACAGCTCCGGCCGTTGCAGCAAATTGGGGAGTGAACCATCAGATGGAAGATCTCTCTCGATCTCTCTCTCTGCCTCTCCTCTCCCTGTGTAACTCTTTCAAATAAATTTTAAAAAAATCTTAAAAAAAAAAAAAAAAAGGGTGCTTCAAAAGGTTCATGGAAAATGGAATTGAAAGGTAAGTTCACTTCGGTGTCAAAAAAAAAAATAAAAACTGAAATCCATGCATGAGGTACTTCAAAATTCATGAAAAATGTGTTATGAAAAAACTACACATGGATTTCAAATTTCTTTGCACCAAAACAAACTCACTTTTTTCTTAAGATTTAACTATTTATTTGAAAGGCAGAGTTACAGAGAGAGACAGACAAAGATAACTTCTACCTGTTGGTTCATTCCCCAAATGGTCATAATGGACAGACTGAACTGGAACTCCCTCTGGGTCTCCCACATGGAATGGCAGAGACCAAACACTTTGACCATCATCCACTACTTCTCCAGGCACATTAGCAGGGAGCTGGATCAGAAGTGGAGCAGCCGGGACTCAAACTGGCTCTCATATGGTATATTCTGGCATTGTAGACAAGCAGCTTAATCCACTGCACCACAACGCTGGCCCCATAAACTTACCTTTTAATTCCATTTTCTAGGACTATTTTGAAGCACCCTTGTACAATGCTTCCTATATTCCCTAAATATTTCTTTTATGCTCCAAATGTACTGAGGAATAACTGGTAATAAAAACTGATTCACCAGGGCCAGCGCTGTGGTGTAGTGGGCTAAGCCTCCACCTGCAGCACTGGAATTCCATATGGGAGCCAGTTCAATTCTCGGCTGCTCCTCTTCTGATCCAGCTCTCTGCTGTGGCCTGGGAAAGCAGCGGAAGATGGCCTAAGTGTTTGGGGCCCTGTACCCGTAAGAGAGACCTGGCTTCAGATCAGCTTAGCTCTGGCCCTTGTGGCCATTTGGGAAGTGAACCACTAGATGGAAGATCTTTCTTTCTGTCTTTCGCTCTGTCTGTAACTCTACCTCTCAGATAAATACATAAAAATCTTAAAAAAAAAAAAAAACTGATTTACCAGGAAAAAGGCAGTAATTTTGATAAATGTATACATTGTTAAGTGCTTAGCACAAACCAGCTAAATAACCCATCACCTGACAGTTATCTTAGTTTTTTTTTTTTTTTTTTTTTGGTCATTAACATTAAAAATCAAGTCTTAGAAAATAGTGTATAGTTTAACTATAGTGTGTATGCTGTGTACTACTCTTAGATTATCTCTGATTTATCCTCCATCCAAGGATTCTTAGAACTCAAAAAAAAAAAAAAAAAAAAGGAACAATTAAAAAGGAACAATTATTTCTTAGAGCTTTTCTAAGGAAATACCTAAGATATTTTAAAGCAGGATACTGGATAAACAATTGCTGATGATACCATATCACTTATCTTAAGAGTGATGTGGCAAATGTCCAACACTGACATACTGCTCTTTACAACACAGAATGGCCTGTTATTAAATAAATAGAAACTGATTTAACAAGATGTCAAGATGTTACACATATGAATAAAACAAGAACTGCTGAAACCCAGTCACTTAGGTATGGGAACAGGGTGTGCTCTCGAAAGCCTCACCTGCCGAATGATACTCTTCACACAGCGTACCGGGAGGCCTTGATAGTTGGACTTGATGATCCACTTGAGGAGATGGTGGCCAAGCACTTCGAACACCATGCAGACATCTGGGACAGGGTTAAGGGTCATTCGTGCGTGCGTGTCCAGGAGTGAGGCAGTTACTGAAAGCAGCATCGGTGTATCACTTGCAAAACTTTTATTTCTTCATAAAATATAACAAAAACAGTATTACTAGTAGCAAAAGAGGCCCACTGCTGTTTCTTACTAAATAAAATGAACTGACATTTACCAAATAGTCATACATGTATTATTTAACATGCACTATGTCTGGAGACTGTGGTGTGAGGCCATTTTTGCCACAAGCAAGGTCTCAGGAACCAAAGGGTCCACACAGACCTTCTTAAAACTCAAAGTGTAGGAGGCTAGTCCTGGGGGTAAAACTGCCGCCTGCAGTGCAAGCATCCCATAATGGGTGCCAGTTTGAGTCCCAGCTACTCCAATTCTCATCCAGCTCTCTGTTATGGCCTGGGAAACCAGTAGAAGATGGCCCAAGTCCTTGGTCTCCTGCACCCATGTGGGAGACCTGGAAGAAGCTCCTGGCTCCTGGCTTCAGATCGGCACAGTTCCAGCCTTTGTGGCCATCTGGGGAGTGAACTAGTGGATGGAAGACCTCTTTCTATCTCTCTCTCTCTGCCTCTCTGTAACTCTGACTTTCAAATAAATAAATAAACCTTAACAAAAAAACTGAAGGTGTTTATGATCAAGATGAAACAATTCTACTTGGGAAAGAGAAGTGTTTATGTATACAAAAGAAACAACACGGTGACTCCTGGCGGTAAACCTTACAAAACCAGAGGAATCTGGAGAAAGGTAACCTGTGCTCAAGGAAACAGTGGCGTGATTCATGACAAATTCCAAAGCAACCTTCCTGTGAAGGCCATTGGACACAGAATCCCTATTTATTTGAAATGCAGGAGCAATAGAAAAAGAGACACAGAGGCAGAGACAGAGATTCTATCTTTCATCCACTGGTTCACTCCCCAAATGGTTGCAACACCCAGGGCTAGGCCAAGCTACAACTAGGAGCCATGAACTCTCTTGGTCCCCACTGTGTGGGTGGCAGGAGCACAAGTACTTTGGCCACCTCTCTCTGTTTCAAATAAAAATGAAAACAAATGATAGTAATTCAGTGAGAAAGGAATACTAAATCAAATGATTATGGCCAGAGCTTGATAATTATTATTTTTGGGTGATAGATTTGCAAAAATTCATTTTAATATCTCCTTTTATATGTTTTAAATTTTTCATAATAAAGGTTTTAAAGATAATCTTCCATTAACCCCTGCTTTATGCCAGATTTACCAACTAGTAGAGAAAATAATTTATTTTTACCAGGTTTTTGCAAAGCAGAGAAACTGGGTATAAAATTTTAAAACTAGGAGCCGGTACTGTGGCACAGCAGGTTAACGCCCTGGCCTGAAGCACTGGGATCTCATATGGGCGCTGATTCAATACCTGGCTGCTCCACTTCCCATCTATCTCTCTGCTATGGCCTGGGAAAGCAGTAAGAAGATGGCCCAAGTCCTTGGGCTCCTGCACCCATGTGGGAGATTTGGGCGAAGTCCTGCTCCTGGCTTCAGAATGGTGTAGCTCCGGCCATTGCAGCTATCTGGGGAGTGAACCATCGGATGGAAGACCTCTCCTTCTCTCTCTGCCTCTCCTTTCTCTGTGTAACTCTTTCAAATAAATAAATAAATCTTAAAAAAATTTTAAAACTAAAATACTTGCATCCTCACAGGGCAGAAAGATGATCCTCTGCAGAAGCAATTATTTGAAAGATTCAGTTGCATCATTCTAGAGAAAGAACCGAGTACAGCAGCTCCCCTGCACACCACCACAGCTTCACTGTCTACAGCACCACTGCCTGCAGTGAACCACGGTCCGAATATACTGCATGGCCTATTCCAGAAATCAACAGCTTTAAGCTGACCATGGTTCCAAGGAGCATGATGGCACCTCGCACTGTCCTGCAGGGAGATGGGACTCCTACCTTTTTGAGAACACCCACACAACAGATGCTGCCTGCCCCCTAATCTCTCAGCAGCCTTGATCGCGCTTCAGCATCACAGTACTTGTGTTATTTTATACAATAATCATCCCAAAGCTCTACAGTCATGATGCTGGCAATGTGGATTTACCCAAAAGAAGCCTTGAAAAAAGAAAAGTTCTCCACTAATGGAAAAAATCCCATGTTGAGATTGTTCAAAATCTAAGGTAAGAATGCAATTTCTATCCATAAATCTGTGAATGAAAAATAACATTCAGGCCAGTCTTGTCGTTAACACCTCAACCAGCAAAATTATTGGAAAAACGGATGCTAAGTGCTTAATTAAAAAATAGAAGGCATTAAGTTAGCGAATGTACAGGAAAACACTAATCAGTAAATAAGAATGGAGCACATGGTTTCAGGCAGTCACTGGGGTCCAGGACAGTATATCCTGCAGACAAGAGAGGACCACTGTATTATTAGTGCTAGTGTTCACTTTTTATTTATTTTTTTTTATTTTATTTTTTTTTGACAGGCAGAGTGGACAGTGAGAGAGAGAGACAGAGAGAAAAGTCTTCCTTTGCCATTGGTTCACCCTCCAATGGCTGCCGCGGCCAGCGCACTGCAGCTGGCGCACCGCGCTGATCCGAAGGCAGGAGCCAGGTACTTCTCCTGGTCTCCCATGGGGTGCAGGGCCCAAGCACTTGGGTCATCCTCCACTGCACTCCCTGGCCACAGCAGAGAGCTGGCCTGGAAGAGGGGCAACCGGGACAGAATCCGGCGCCCAGACCGGGACTAGAATCTGGTGTGCCAGTGCCTCAGCCTTCTATGACACAGTGCCAGCCCTTAGTTTTCACCGTACACATACAGCACTCAAGTGCAACCTGGAGATGTCAACACAAACAGAGCATTTTTCCATTTATTGCCTCAACAAATGTTCCAACCCTACAAGGTGCTTCTTGGTCCCTGGAGCATGTACAGAGCTAGCCCTTGGGCACTGACTTTAAAGCACAAAGAAGTGTTGTTTTTATGCTTCTATCTCTGCAAACAAAGTTCACCACAATGAATGGAAAAAAGATCAATAATTCATTCAAAAACCACATCAAGTTGCTGTAACAGTTTTCTTTTCAAGTTTCTAACATGCCACTATACAAAAAAACACCAAAAAGTCCTTCCAAACCACCTAGGGGCACCACTTTCTAACACTTCCCAAAATCCCAAGGGCTTTGTGCTGACAGGGATGTAAGAGCAAACATGAGTATTTAGGGGCCTGAACAATCCTGTTTTTTAAAGGAAAAAAATTATAAGTCATCAACAATTAAGAAAAGGATACGTATTCCATTCATGCCTGAAATCTTGAAGTCATCGATGAGCTGGACCACCATGTCTTTGTTTGGGTCACTGGGATCACTTTCTCGAACCTGTGCAGACACAATCAAATCCAAGAACAGAGGAGTTCAAGACAGAGAATATTTTGCATTGCAGTAATAAAGGTGATTTTGTTTTAAGTTCAGTATTTGAACTTAGGAAAAAGAAATTCTACTTTAATTTAGTACCAGCCAGAAATTAACTTTTTAAAGATTTTTTTCAGTCATTAATTTCTGTTACAACATTCACATTTTTGCAGTACTTACACATTTGAGCAATTTTATTTCATCCAAGGCTGTTTCTGTATAATGCTGGGCACTTTTTACAACTTTCATAGCAACAAATCTTTTCCCCCTTGGAAAAAGAAAAAATGTATTTACCTATATTATCAAGAGAAGAAGTGACATTACACTGAGATGTTGCAAAGATAAATTAACAAGCTTTCTTTAAAACAGTACTTTTCAAATTGAGTGGGCACTAGAGACAATGAGGTCCATGGGTCAACACAATTCTTTCATGCTTTGCTGTCCTCTCTAATTAATGAAGACTATAAAAATACTAGTGTTACCACACACACTTATAGTAATGGAAAATATTCTGACACTTCTACTTCTCTTCAAATACACAGAAAACTAGCTGGCGCTGCGGCTCACTAGGCTAATCCTCCACCTTGCAGCACCGGCACACCAGGTTCTAGTCCTGGTCAGGGCGCCGGATTCTGTCCCGGTTGCCCCTCTTCCAGGCCAGCTCTCTGCTGTGGCCAGGGAGTGAGTGCAGTGGAGGATGGCCCAAGTGCTTGGGCCCTGCACCCCATGGGAGACCAGGAGAAGCACCTGGCTCCTGCCATCAGATCAGCGTGGTGCGCCAGCCGCGGCGGCCATTGGAGGGTGAACCAATGGCAAAGGAAGACCTTTCTCTCTGTCTCTCTCTCTCACTGTCCACTCTGTCAAAAATAAATAAATAAATAAAAACAAATACACAGAAAACAAAATATGTTACATGTTTATGCACTGGATTGCAGTGAAGCTTCTTACTATCAGTGATGGCTTTACAAAAATTTCAAATGTTGGGGCCAGCACTGTAGCACAGCAGGTTAACGCCCTGGCCTGAAGCACCGGCATGGGCACCGGTTCAAGACCCAGCTGCTCCACTTCTGGTCCAGCTCTCTGCTATGGCCTGGGAAAGCAGCAGAAGATGGCCCAAGTCCTTAGGTACTTGCACCCATGTGGGAGACCCGGAAGAAGCTCCTGGCTCCTGGCTTCGAATCGGCACAGCTCTGGCTGTTGCAGCCAATTGGGCATCAGATGAAAGACCTCTCTCTCTCCCTCCCTCCCTCTCTCTCTCTCTCTCTGCCTCTCCTCTTTCTGTATAACTCTGACTTTAAAATAAATAAATAAATCTTTTTAAAAAAAATTCAAATGTCAAAGGCCTACGTGTGAAAAATTTTCTATCTGAATGGTCTTCCAATATGGATGAATTGCTAGAAAAATAGTATGACTCCTATACAGAGCAGTTTCAAAGAATAAGCTTCAGAAATACAGCCAGATGACAGCTAGCATTTTAAGATGTCTAAGCAAATGAACTTCAAACTGAGAGAGGAAAAAAGAAAAAGTTGGTTAGCTGGGGCAGGCCTGTGCTAAACACTTTACATGCCACAACAAAGTAGGTGCAACCCTCAGCCATACCTTCTGAGAAAATGCATGTTGAACTAGATGAAGAATCAAAAGACAATGACAAAGAATACTTACTGCATATCCCAACACAGCCAGACAGTAGAGAAGTGCCCCCATCCTAGCTTCCTAATGACATGATAACGGCCATTGAAGAGGTCTCCAATTTTCACTGGATGGTAGCCACCTTTAAAAAAAAAAAGAAAGAAAAAAGAAAAACCATTCACAATCTCAGAAAAATGGCAATAATATTTCATGTTCTCCTTTGCCAACTCTTGAGGTCACTAAAGAAAACTAAACAATACAATCAGATTAAAATATGTTCAGTAACATTTTCTCAGGAATATTTGTTCAATAGGAAAATAATGTTCTATGAACAACTATGAAGCTTTTAAGTTAATTTAAAAAGGCAATAATAACCATCTAGCACTTCATAACAATAATTTGAGATTTTTTATTTAAGCCTAGGTATGCAATTTTCAGACACTAGTTTTTGACATTTACAAGCTTTTTCCCCTTCTAAGTAGTAAGTTTCTTTTATCTTTACTAGAAAACTAACCAAATTAAAGATTAGTTACCCTGCAAAATTCTGCAGACACTGACAGTTTATGTATAACCATACCACAAGGAATTACATAATGTACATCTTATTTACCCAACAGGGCTTCTTCCTCTCATTATTTCCTCCAACCTCACACTCAACACTCCTTAGAAAGGAAATCATTTAGAGAGCACAAGAGTGTACCCTGCTAAGGCTGAGGGGGATACAGTTACCTCCCTACACTGACATGAACAGACTCTCATTGTGCATTACATAAAAAGAGCAGCCTATAGAATGGTAATTCGACACCATACTTGTGAAAGACACAAGAAACTTTAGAATGATAAGATGGTAGCAATGGAAATTCTGTATGTAAAATCACTTGCTTTTTTTTTTTTTTTTTTTTTTTTGGACAGGCAGAGTGGACAGCGAGAGAGAGAGACAGAGAGAAAGGTCTTTCTTTGCCGTTGGTTCACCCTCTAATGGCTGCTGCAGCTGGCGCACCATGCTGATCCGATGGCAGGAGCCAGGTACTTCTCCTGGTCTCCCAGGGGGTGCAGGGCCCAAGCACTTGGGCCATCCTCCACTGCACTCCCTGGCCACAGCAGAGAGCTGGCCTGGAAGAGGGGCAACTGGGACAGAATCCGGCGCCCTGACCAGGACTAGAACCTGGTGTGCCGGTGCCGCAAGGCGGGGGATTAGCCTAGTGAGCTGCGGCGCTGGCCACTTGCTCTTTTTATGTACATTTCATTCTTTCTATCCTTTCCTTTTTTTAGTTTTTTCATTTTTCCCTAAGTCAAACAGTGCATTTCTACTTTTTTACTTTGGGGACAGATTTTTCATTTTCTTAATTTAACACATATTGCTTTTTTATTGTGAAGAATTTTTGAGAGCCTGCACTGTGGCACAGTGGGTAAATCCACCTCCTGTGATGCCGACGTCCCATTTGGGCATTCGTTTGTGTCCAATCCAGCTCCCTGCTAATGTATCTGGGAAAGCACCCAAGGGATGGCCCAAGTGCTTGGGCACCTGCACCCACATGGAAGACCCAGAAGAAGCTCCTGGCTTCAGCCTGGCCCAGCCCTGGCCACTGCAGCTATATAGGGAGTGTGGAGGCAAATGGAGGACCTCTCTCTGACTCTGCTTTTCAAATAAATATATCTTAAAAAAATTTTTTTTTACTTTTCTCATTTTTTTAATCGGCAGAATTTTTACAAATCACTCAACAAAGATATGGGTGGCTCATGCCTACTGCTGAGCGGCTTGAGCAGGTGCAGGAAGTATCTAAACCACATCCTTCAATAGACTTGTGTAACTCCCAGAGGGTTCTGAGTCATATTTCAAAAAATACCATGACTATTTAAATGACACTGAATTAGTGAAGCAGGAATCTAACCAGACACTGGGTTTCTAAGAGCTTTACTTTCCTTTAACAATTACGCTTACTTTTCCTGGATTTTAATCTCAAAGACTACAACATTTAGGAATAACTTATAACAAATTATTAAATGGCTCATTACTTGGAAGATAAGTTAAAATGAAATAAAGTGAATAGTCTTTGAATTTACAATACAGTTTTAAGGCATTAAAATTAACACTGAAAAGGGGTAAGAGAAAATCGACATTTATTTATTATGAACTAGGAGCACTGTGCTACTCACCTTATTTCAAAACCACATTCCATGAAACAAAAGTTAACCACAAAGTACTGTATGTGTTCTACAGGGGAGAGGAGAGGGCAAAGAAGAAGGGAGGAGAGGAAGTGCAGAGTTAAACAAAGCAAAGCTGTGCTCTTGACTATACACCTCGTGTTTCAATGCACAGTACGAACCTCTGAGAGAAGAGGGCAATGCTGCATATTCTGGACTTAGCCACTCAGGAAACTACTTCTTCAGGGACCCAGATATGTTTTATAACACAAATATTTAAGAAACACTGATATCCATCTTTCTTTTTTTTTCTGTTTAAGATTTTGCACATCTGTATTTTCTTTAATTTTATTTAGTTTTTACATGTTTCATATATTCAGATTTAGGAACATAGTAGGATATCCCCCTCTACCCTCCCTTCCCCTGCCCACTCCTACCCTTCCTTCCCCTCCGTCGTGGATTCCCATTCTTAATTTATACTGTGATCTATTTTTAATTCATATAGTTAAACCTAATTAAAAGAGTTCAACAAACAGTCTATAAAGAAAACAAAAGTATACAAAACACTGTTCCTCCAAGGAACAAACAATGGCTAAAAACAATCATCAAATCTCAGAATGTCTGTTTCACTCTAACACATTATATTTTGGGTATCTATTAGTTACACTGGATCAGGGGAAATATACAATATCTGTCTTTTGGGGATTGGCTTATTTCTCTAAGTATAGTGGATTCCAGTTGTGATCCTTTGTTGCGTTTAAAAACGACAGGATTTTGTCTGCAGATGGTATTCTTGCTCCAGTGCTGCAGAAGACATCAAGCATCAGAGAAATACTGAAAACTGGGTCTCACTCCAAAGCCCATGCTTTGTCCACCTGCAAGAAACACACTCCATTCTTAAGATCTGGACGACTGCTTCCCGGTCTTAGTGCACAGGCAACCGCAGAGGCGTAAGTAACTAAAAGCTGTATATCACAAGTATATAAATATACTATTGTTCATATTGAAGTCTTCAGATTGAAAAATATTTGTTATGCATAAATGAAGAAACTTCATCACCAGCATATGTTTCAGATTCAAATCTCAGTCAGCCAGAGAAACAGAAAAGCACCATCACTAATGCAGTCGTAGTGTGAGGACAGCCTTTTCTCTGGAGGATTTGAAAGTTGAGTAAAAAAAAATTGGTAGTTGAGTCCAGTATCTTTGGACCCCACAAGCTAGTTAAGAATACTGTCTCTAAAAATGACCAAGTATATAACAAGAGAATTAACACAAAGATAAAAATCACTGGAAATATGAAACACTTTTATTTTGAAAATATGACGTGTAATTTCAAATCTGTATTCTAAATTTTCTCACACCCTAACTTCTAAGTTTCCACGGAAAACAACATCTCTCAGGATCATTCATCTTTCCCTTCACAAAGAACTGCAGCCAAGGCTCTACCTGCCACTCATGCGGTCGGAAGGGAGGAGCTAGCTGCCACATGGCATAGCATGCCAACCTAACCAACACCCATGAAATCAGACATGATGGTCAACCCAGCAACTCCTCCACTTCCCTGGCTTTGTTAAGTTCCACTATGCTGTCTAGCACACAAGGAATCCTGACAGCAGTTACAGGCTGGAGGAAGAACCAAACTCTCTTCGGGTCCTTCCACTGGCTTCCCCAACATGTAGCAAAGACGACAGACAATACTAGCACTGCACGGACCCTGGCAAGGACATCAGGCAAAACACCTGAGAGGTCAGGAGATCACACCCTGAGGGTGTGGGTGATACATGCACATTTCATTATCTGTCCCATCCAGCACAAAAACCACATTTTATTACTTAAAAGCTTTTCTTCTTAAAAAGAAATCTTAGGGACTGGGGCTCGGGCCCGGGCTGTGGCTATGGAGTAGTGGGTACATCCCATATGGACGCTGGTTTGAATCCCAGCTGCTCCACCTCTGATCCAGTTCTCTGCTACAGACTGGGAGAGCAGTAGAGCATGGCCCAAGTCCTTAGGCCCCTGCACCCACGTGGGAGACCTAGAGGAGGCTCCTGGCTCCTGCCTTCAGATCCTTCAGATCAGCACAGCTCTGGCCGTTGCGGCTAATTGGGGAGTGAACCGTCAGATGGACGAACTCTCTTTTTCTCTCTCTCTCTTTCAAATAAATTGATGGATCTTTAAAAAAACAAACAAACAAAAACAAAACAAAAAAACTTAGTTTGGATTAGAACTATAAACAGGACCAGAATGGATTCTGAAGTGACCATTAACTGATTGCTCTGGCTTCTCCTGTTCTTACCCGCCAGCATGCCCAAGAAAAGCATGCTGAAAGTTCCACCTACACCAGTCATAGGATTCCAAAGCAGTTAAGTCTAAACTTCTCTTTCTCAGTTGTTTTGGGATATGCGCTGGACAAAAACAAAGATGACTCCCTTTTCCTTGCCCTGCAAAAGCTAGATTCTACTCATCAAAGTGTAGAACTCCATGACACCCAACAAATGCACTGGAAATATTTTTTCTTTTTTCTTTTTAAAATATGTATTTATTTGAGAGGCAGATACAGATAAAGAGCTCCCATCCACTTGGGTTCACTCCCCGAATGCCTGCAACAGCTACGGCTGAAGTCAGGAGCTAGAACCCAATTAAGTTCTCCCACCATGAATGACAGGCACCAACCACCTAGTGATTTGAGCCATTGCTGCTGCCTCCCAGGAAGGGGGGCAGGTGTCAAACCAGGCACTTCCTGTATGAGACATGAGCATCTTAACTACCAGGAGCCCGTATTTTCCACTAAAGATAACATGAAGTATTATTCATTTTTTTGCTGACATTAGTTCCTCAGGCCTCTGTCTCTCCACGACCACTGAAAGTTTTCAAAGGACAAAGGAAGACTTGAACATGATTTCCAATGCCACAGTCTTCAAAAGGGAAGTGGGATAAGTGGACATTTGGTATAGCAGTTAAGTCAGCATTTGCAATGCCCACATCCCATTCAGAGTGCCT